ATAAAGCCATGTGCCTCTTTAAAGCATCTCGTCTAGGGCAAAAAGCACTAGATCCTGGGAGCCTAGCACCTCAGTGCACCTTAGGTAAGCCTTTTAATAGGCTGAAAGTACTCAAGACCTCACAAATTAATAGTCTGTGATTAATTAAGAAAGAAAAATAAATAAACAAATAAATAAATAAGTGCAAAGGGGTGGCCTGATTTTTACATATCAGAATTTGGCATGAAATAAATATTACCGAACAATCATTATGAGCAAAAAGAGTGGAACGAATTACTGATGAAGTGACAAGGACAAAGTCTCTTGTTTGCCAGTTCCTGACCCGGGGGGCAGAGGCGATTAAAGTCACCTCAAGAGCATTAGAGCCAAGGGAGCCGGTTCCTTAACAGTTTCTAATTGTTAGCAAAATAGTAACGCAGTGTTTTTAGCATGTTTTAATCATATAAGGTAGGGATCAACAAATAAATCACACTAGCTCAGTATCACAGGAAGTTACAGTAATGCAGCAATACATTATAACGCCAACAATTTTGCAAGATTCATCCAAGATAAAACAAACTCCCAATGAACCAACATTGAAAACTAGAGATAGCAAATCACACGAAGCATTGCCACCAAAGCATTCCTTAAGCCCAAGCAACTGAAAATTAAGATCTTTGAGACTTCCAACCAAACTTATGAAGTATGTGTATTTGCATGAGAATGAGGCATTTGATCGTAAGGGATGGAGGAGGAGGATTTTTGTCGATTACTACACAGAATAATCACTTTTGATCCATGTAGCCGACCCCACTTATGGGATTAAGGCTTTGATTGATTGATTTGAGACTTCCAACCAAGCACTACAATATATAAGCTATTACATAAAAGTTTCCACATGTAACAAACTGATTTAAGGACAAACCAAAACCAAGCCCTAACTATTAGCCGAGTCCCTAATAATATTCCTTGCGATCAAAATAACACTCAGAATTTATGTAACAAAACTGAGACTGAGCTTCAAAAAGGCAATGCAACCACCCATACCCTATTACTAACAGAGAGCAGAGGAAAACAAAAGCTGAGCTAAGTAGAAAATAGAAACCTTTGTCAAATATAGATTCAGAAAGATGATTTCAGGTATTGGCTAGTAGCATAAAGTAGACCCCAGTATGTCCTAATCTGAGGAAGAAGAATGAAAAAGACCTATGTTACTCAAATTCCTTATTTCACATCAAATTCCCATGTAGGGATCCTCGACACAAAGATATGGGTACGGACACTTAAACACTTCATTTTGAGCCAGAACCATGGAGTGTATACGCATAACAGCCAAGTCAGACACTTGGACACATACCCGAGTCTGAGAAGTCTAAGTAACATGAGAAAGCCTAAAACTCCTTGTTCTCTTCTCACTCAAAAACAATATCTGCATGTAAAAGTGGCACGCAAGAGAAACTGTAAACCAAATTCACAATAAAATGATTTCAGCTTTTGCCAACAGTAGGGCTAAACTGCCTAATAAAATATACAATTCACAAACCTAACTTTTATGTGTCAATAAAATATACGACTATGTTGTTTTCATCCGATCCAGATTACACCAAATTAATCACAGAGAAAACAAGAATAAAAAAGAGGTTTTAACGATCAAAAAATCAATTCAACAAAAACAAGTCAAATAACAAGAAAAATAATCACAACCCACATCATAATAAAGAAAAAATCGACAAACCCATGTCCCATAACACGAAAATTCATCAAAATAACAAAATCCCAGAAAACTGAAAGTTGAAATTAGGAAGAAAAACTCACCAAATTTGACAAAAGAAACGGCAAATAATTAGGGGAATTGAAAAAGGGCAAAGAAATTTGCTCAAAATCAATGATTGGATGATCAAAAAGAAGGAAAATTTGAGAAGGAATATGATAGTTGTTCTTCTTGAAAATAGTTAGAGAGATAGGTGAAACGTTAAGTACAAGTTATAAAAAAAAGGGTGGAGTGAGAAAGTTTGAGACTTTTGCTGAGTTAATGAAGGATGTTGAAATTGGGAAATCCTATAATTCATGGAAATCCGTAGACAAGGGAGAAATATTATGAGATTAAAGAGTTAAAAAGTTGGCAAATTTGGGAAATCAGGTGGTTGTTTTTGGCTTTGGGTGGCAAACTGCTAACATGCCACTGCGACAACTCACTCTTTCTAATTGCTCATAACGGTTTTTTTCTCAGGATATGATCGAGTTTAGTCGATTAAAGTTAGAGAATTTAATAATAATGTATGCTACGTATATTATTTTTTTTTTTTAGGAAAATGCTACGTATATTATTTACTCTTTGTGACTTTTTTATACCAATAATTTTATTTTACTCGATTTATAGAATATTCTAATTTTATCAGATGTCTCCAAAGAGACCTCGATTTATAGAATATTATCTAATCTTTCATAAATGATAAAAATTGATAAATATATCGGCCAATCGAGTTCAAAATAGGTTAAATTGAATTGGGTCAATTTTTATGATGAGTTGTTCAATTTAAGTTAGTCTAAAATTGAGCGTAGGTCGTATAGGCTTATACTTGAATTTGAGTATGGCGGATTGACGGTATGAGTTAGATTATTATAAGTTGAGTAGCTTTTGCCAAGTTTATCTATCATTGGATAAACCTAATTTTAAACCAATAATTATTACTATTTGTTTTAAAATTACAGTAAGTTTTTCTCATTTGTTTGAGTACATCCAATGGATTATAGTTGACCATATACATTTTCAATTGAATCTTTGAATAGCAATTAAAAAATAAATTACTAATTATTAAGAATCAAATAAGACCCAACACGTCTATATTATGTTTTATATATTTAAAGAGTAGTTTATAAGAATGTCTTATCTTATGAATAGTTTTAAGATTCCAAATTAAAAGAATAAAAAAAAAAACAAGGGGAGTATTGATTTATTAAGCTACTATACAATAATCATGTGGCAAGTAGGTAATCACATAGAAAATTAATTTTAGTAAACTAATAAAATATAATATATTATGTGGTTCTAAATTATCCACAGCTGAAAATTCCAATTGAGAAATTAAAGCATCCCATTGACCTATGAAAAATTGAAAACTTAAATGGCTAATGTTTTTAATCTAAAAACTATCCAATTGACTAAAAAAAAATAACATAGTAATTGACTTTCAATTATTTTACAAGGTATTATAGTATTAGTAATTTGTTTTATGATTTATTTTTGGGCATTTAGCTTTAATCTCTCACTCTTATCCCTTTTACATAGACTGTATTTGTTTTTCCCTCATCCAAACACAATAAAGGATGGTTATCATCATCCAACGTAAATCTACTTGTAAACCAAAGTATGCATTTTAGCAACTCTAAAGCAGTTGGTTATGAATTCATATCACAAAATAAAATGATAGAGGTGCGATTGGTTTGATAATGATCCTTTAATATTTCTTGTACGTTTTGTATGCAAAATCCTCTTCCACACGAAAATATAGTTCTACCTTTTGGCATATTTTGGTTATAAAGACCTTTAAATTTATCCATTCTTTTTCATTATTTGCTAATTAATCAATTAATCTAAATATGAATCTAGTGGTGTGATGAATGTCAAGTCTGTCAACATTAGATGAATGTAATGTCCACCAATTTGAGAATTTATTATAGGTATATCCCTTATATGTCTATGATCCATCAAGATATAAATATAGTGTTGGTTCATTTGTCCTTTTATCTAGGGGCCAAATAATATGTCATTTTCTAAGACTAAATAATTTAAAGTAAAATCATACTAAATAATTTATCACAAAATCATGAGCATCAAAGTTGAGATGGCCGAGTTGGTCTAAGGCGCCAGATTAAGGTTCTGGTCCGAAAGGGCGTGGGTTCAAATCCCACTCTCAACATTATTTTTTTTCTTTTTTTTTTTCCTGCAAGACAAAAACTCTCAGATTGTTTACCCTGTACTTTCTGCTCAGCTTCTTCATATCAAGTTATACCATTATACATTTTTATCTATATCGATGTCAAGAATATGTGAGTGAATTACAAAGGACCGAAAGCGATGAAGGCTGGAGACTTGCTCTGAAATTCTGCAGTGTAAATGAGTGATTAAAGAACAACTCCTGTCTAGATTGACATTCAATTACAGAGAAGTTTGCTAAATGTGGTAGCTTAGATTATGCTAGAATGTTATCTGAAGCGACGAGTCAGATAGATGAAGTTACATGTTGTTTGATACGAGTATATGGCTATTTGGCTCATGTTATGTGAAGAAAGCAATGGATCATTTCAGGGAAATGGAAAGCTCGAGTCCAAGTACATGGAAGCAACAGTATGATTTCTGGACTGGCATAGAACAAATTTCACAAGATTTTTATTTTAATTTAAAAGCGAGAAATGCTGAATTCTTGTTTCAGAGCAAGCGTTTCGAGTGTTCATTCCACATCCCACTTGTGCAATCTTGACGGAGGCAAACAAGGGCATGCTCATATGCCAATGCAACTATTTTCATTAGAATACCTCCTGATTTCTACTGCATTTGCATTGTACATTTTTACTAAGCAATAAAATTTACCTCCATGACATGAATAAAATTTGAGTTCTTTCTAAAGCAAGTAATAAGATAACTCGATTTAAGTATAATGATCATATAATCACGTAGAATAACTTGATCAAAGTATAATGATCACACATTCGCGATGCATCTTACCAAGTTACAAAATCCATCTCGCAGATCCATAAGTTAGCACCATTTGAATTTCCCTGTCATTACATCACAGAATATACTTGTATATATATACTGTACTTCGTATGCAATTTACCAAATTCGACTACTATAAACAACAATTATTATCTCTGATGAGCAAATCCAAAGTGCATAACTACTTACAGTAGATTACTCTCTCCTCATAGTCACATTCGTGATTCAATTTACACTATCAACGTGACTATTAATTTGAAATAGAGTGACAGATAGCAAAAGCAGCATCCCAAAATCCACAAAATAAGCATAAATGTATCATTTATAAAATATTATCATATTCATATAATCATATTACAATATATCCATTGTTATACAAAACCCACAAATTCTACAAATGAGAAAACAAAGAAAAATCAATTAACAGGAAGAACCTTCTTAACAATCTCATCACTAAGAGCAGCAATCTGAGAATCAAGAGACTTAATCGTATCCTCCTTCTGCTTCTCCAAACTAGCCAAAGCTTCCTGAAGTTCAACCTCAATCTTCTTTCTTCCTTCAGCCAACTTGGCCTCAACTTCAACCTGCGTCTCCTTCTTCATCTTATTCAAGGCAGCAGAAATCTCAGCACGTGCAGCACGCATGACAGCATTAGCTTGTTCTTCAAGCTGCTTAACCTCAGAAGAAGTATCCTTAACATCAGCAAGCTGCTCTTTAATGGAGGCATCACGTTTATCCATGAAATCACCAAGAGGGGTGTAGTAGATCTTGTCGAGAGCGAACATGAGGAAGAGGAATTCGGCCATGATAATGGGGAGAGTGAGGTTGAAATCGAAGAGGGAGGCTTTCTCGATTTCTTCGGCGAGAGAAGGGTGAGGGAGGAGGTAGGAGAGAGAAAGTGGGGCGGCAGAAATGGCGGCGGATTTGAGGAGAGAGAAATTGAGTTTTTGTTGTTGGGGTTGTGGGAGTTTGAGAAGGGGGGTTTTGAGGAGAGAGAATTTGGGTTTAGAGGTGGTTGTTGGGAGGGATTTGGCGGAGGAGGCCATGAGCATGTTGGCCATTGCTGCTGGTTATGGTTGTTCTCTGTAAATGTGAGTGGCCTTTTTTTTTTTTTTTTTTTTTTATGTTTTTGAAAAAATTGTGGGGATTTTTGATTGGGGAAGAAGAAGAAGAAGAGGAAGGGGTGGTTTTGGGGATTTTGGGAGGGGCAAATTGTGGAAAAGGTTATCCCAATGTATGCCACACAATTTGAGATCATATATTGTGGTACTTATTAATTGTTTTTTTTTTTCTTTTCTAAAATGAAATCTACTTAAAAAAAAAAATATATAAAAAATAAATATATTCTCTTTTGGCACTTTAGGTAAAAAGAGTTGTATTATTAAAAAAAATGATCAAATGTCGGAAATTCAACTAACTTAAGGGCTTGTTCGTTATCGTTTATTTATAATCGTATCGAGTTTAACAGCCAAAAATTGGAAAGTAAAAAACAATTTTACTCCAATATTGAAAATCACCCCTTTTTCAAAGCAGATATAAATAATACTTCGTAGCTTTGTTCACTCTTGTAACAAGAGATTATACTTGTAGATTTGTAGTCACCTGAGATTTTCAAGTAACAAAGTGGACATTCTCTAACCCTTTTCTCTATTGTAAATGATTCCCTACTTGACAAACTGCGCTTGAAACGCTTCTAAATTGTACTTCCTATGAGAAGAACAAGCATTACATACGAAAATGAAGTACCATCTCAAACATACTCAGTCATATAAAATGATCGCAGACAAATGACAAAAATGCAGATTAAAGGCTACAAAGTGGGGTTTAAAATCTTCATTGATGCTTGTTTGTATGTGACAATGTGTCAGATGCTACAAATGTATATTCGGGTATGAGGAACTGATCCTAAAACTGGGTCTTATGCTCTACCAAGCACTTGAATTACTCCCGTGGTATGAATGTGTATACAACTTTTTTGCGGTATTATGTTTATACATGACTATGTCCAAGAGAAGCCATTCCAGCAGGCAGAGGTATTTCTGTGCAAGTAATACCACTCAAATTTCTACCTGCGAGACTCTGGAAGAATAGCGGGGGTGTCTCTTATCAGAAAAATGAAACCAACCTCTTATGCCACCAGCACCTGTCCACCTTGATCGATCGGCTTGCCCTCTGAACTTCAGTTGATCATTGTTGGAAACTCTTGAATACAAAAACCACCCTCTGAATAAATGGGAGAGCATAGATTCACTGCGGCTCGAGTTATCCTCAACTTGACAGCTTAGGTTTTCCTGATCATCAAAGGCCTCCTCTACTTTTGATATTTCCTCTTCTTTGTTCTCTGTTCTGCATGACAAAACACCCTAATCATTCAGTTTCCTTGATCTAGTAGAGTGTAATAGAGAACCTTAATTGAGGGTAATGCGAGAGGCAAGTCTAGATTTTGCTTGTTACAAAGCCAGTGCTATTACCACAGGATCGTATACTAATCAAGAAAGCAATAAGAGAGGTTTCATACATGGTCTTTAGACAAAATATTTTAAATTCAATATCAATGAATCTGTACTTTAAAGGAGTGATATTACTTTTCATTAAGTATTAGAGCCATAGTAAAAATTCTTTATCCTCTTTTCTTTAAAATGACTGGATCTAAAGAGCAGCATGCTTCAGGAATCAGGACTTTGTAGCTAGAGGGCAGCATTATACACCAGCTAGATAAACAAGCCACAGCCTTAGAATGACCGCCTAGATAAAAGAACAGTATGCATTTGCCATCTGACTCCTTTGAGACCACTTAACACCATACTGGTGTAACATTTATTGCAGCCATGGGATTAATTAAAAAGAGGAATGGAAAGAGCAATAAATAAAGTCTTACGTTGTGCAAGGCTTGGAAGCTTCTATTCGTTTTCTTGATCTCTTCTTTATGAGGTTGTAAGCAATTGACACGTGCCGAACAAAGCGAAGCTGCAAAAGATCAAGTAAAGTCAAGTCAGTACAAAGAAGAAGCATTAACCCAGACCTCACAGGGTAACCTACTCAGACTTCAGGGAGACGCATATAGGAAGAATTAAATTTACAGAAATTAGTATTATTACTTGACAAGAAAGGTAACAAACATCAATCAACCTCCAAGACAACATATAAACACCTAGCTCTATTGTCAAAGCATCAATATCTATATTATTAAACCTTCTAGGAAGGACTAACAGTAAGAATTTATCAGTCAAGAAAACCAACACAGTACAGTTGCAGATACAATTGCATGTAAAGAAAAATATAAGAGAAGCCCATATGAGCCTCAGGACTCAGGTGTTGATGTCAATTAAACAAATTAAAAAAAATTCCTTTACCCATGCTTAGAATTGAGAACTTACACTCAAGCTACAATAACATGCTATAAAAGGTATTTGGGATAGGATAGCTTGCGCGCCTTGCAGTGACAAAGATATTAAGTAATTAAGGAACATCCTTATCATCACAACCAAGCTAAAAGATGGTCTATATGCAATCAACTACCATAAATTAAATGACTCACAGGTGATACTTCCCTGCTATACATTACACTTGGTGTTTAGTAGACTCGAATTGAAAATCCAACTTAGCTAGCATTAGCTGCCAGCGCTACATGCTAAAAATTTATGACTTCTCACTTTCACTTGAGAAAAGCTACTATAATTAATATGTAAGTAGAGTTTTGCTTTGTTGTAGGCAACAATGGATTAAGTGTATACACGGTTGAAAACAACCAAGGTAAAGTTTTAGAAAGGATCAAGTCTCTAAGTGATTCACTTTCATTTTACAACACCAAAATGATATAATTTCCCATGCTGCTTGGAACAAAAATGTCAGAGCACTGAAAGTTTTAAGAGTATGTAAGCAAACATACCTCATCACCATCCCTGACACCATAATTCCTGATATACTCGCTGTCAATTAGTAGCTTCTGACCACGATAAGATAAGCAAAATTGTGTCCATACATGTCGCCTATCAACAGAAATAGGTAAACCAGAATTGGTTAGTCAGAGCAAGTTGGAAAAAAAAGATCCATGAAAATAAAGCTGTATGTGTTGAATCCTCATTCTCTCTTTTCTCTAGTATAGGTATCTAAAGGTAATTTACAGACGTAAATAAAATTCCATACCATGAAATCTTGCCAGTTTCGGCAGTAGGCAAATTACTGAAATAGCTCTCCACTGCCTGCTTGAGATCAGATATTGTAGCCATCTTTATGACTTCAATTCCTACGAAACCGTTCAATCAACTTCATAATCAAATCAATCAAAATACACTTAATGCTAAGCCTACAATACTTTTGAATATAACACATTATTCCTTAAGAAGATCTGTATTCGACTAACGAAATTAAAATCAAACTACCACCGGTCTTCCATTCGTGATTCATTGTTCACAAGTTCCTTCAAATGTCCCTACTCTTTACGACAATAAATTTCGAGCATCATGCAAAATGCCTTACCAAATCAAACAAAAATAGAATGACATGCAGAAATTCAGTAATCTAATAACAAAATCACATAAAATTCCTTTTGTTAGTGTCTCAATCTCGATTAAAAGTCCTATTGCATCACAAATCACATACGAGGCAACACGAAAACTGCCAAGAAATCATCAAGATTATCATCACTCTCAAACAATCAAACCTAGCAATAGCTGAAAATTCAATAATCGCCACTCTCAGAAACAACTAGAACATTCACATAATCATAATTCATTTGCATTATTCCAATTGAAAATGAATTTAAATTGCAACACTAGAAAACAACAGTATACGATGAAAATGTGAGAGAGAGAAAGATACCGAAAGAGGAGCCATCCAATTTGAAAATGGTGAGATGAATAGGAGCCTGAGAAAGCTTATCATACGAAAAACTCTTCCTCGAACTCACAATCGACAACGCCGTTGAAACCGAGGACGAATTCCGACAAAAACTCCGGCGACCTTTCGACGACGACGGAGGCGCCTCAAACGGAACCCTAGATAAGTGCAATCCACCTTTCCTGCCTTCGCGTTTGGCGAAGAATTCATCCTCTCTGTTAGCCGCCTTGAAGCTTAATCTTGGCATTATCAAAAATGAAAATCACAACAACAAACAGCAAAAACAGGTTTCTCTCTCCTTCCTTTGTTCTTTGAAGCAGAGCTTTAATGGCGGAATAAGGAGGATTCGTAGATGAGAGAAACACGCAATAAGGAGGATATAATAGAGATTGCGAAGATTGGATTTGCTTTGGTTGTAGGGCGAAGAAAGGCAATGTAATGTTGGGGTGATTCTTCTGATATAGAAAGAGAAAGAGAAAGAGAAAGAGGAGAGAGAAAAAATGGAGAGGAAAGGAGAGGAGAAGGAAGGTGATTGATGATGCATTGATGCCAATGGTGCATTGGTGCCTGCCTTTGGTCATTGCCCAACTTTGTACACTTGTTTATTTTTAATTCTCCGGTTCTCCCTCTCGGGCTACAGTGTAATCTGTAAACGTCGTTATGTATGTCTGAGTGTATAATAAACGTTTCTCTGTCGTAAAGTACGTAATATTTTTGAAATATTTACAAACAATGCCTAAAAACATTTTTACGAATTACTTTGTGTTTGGGAGTTGAACACGTATAATGCAATAAAGTTCGTCCTTCAAGCGTCAACTAATTTACATATGTCATTGGCTTAATTCGACTAGGCTCTCCTTATATAAAGAGAAATATACTCCGCCATATATGTCACGGCTCACGAGCCCTATTAGGCAGCAGGAGATAATAGAATCTGGCTTTAAGAAAATAGCCGGAATTTTCATCCATTATTGAGAATGCTACTAGCATCAAAATATGGGATACTTATCATTTGGTTGGAAATATTAGTAGATCATTTCTATCTTTACAAAATTTGTTGACCATTTCATACTACCTTCAGTGACGATCCCCACTTCATTCAAAACTACTTTCATTAACCTCTGAAGGACTAGCCCAAATGGGCAAATTTCAACTCAAACCAAATCTTTTCAGCAGTTTATCACAAGAGTACAGGAAATACATGGGCAAAAGAATTACAATATTTACCAAAAACTTTGCCCAAGGAAGAGAAAAAAGAGTAGAAATAACTAAACCTAGAAATCACCAATTTGATAAAATAATTGATGTAGCCGCAGATTAGTGCTCATGTGTTCAAATTCCTTCTGATATACTCCTAATAATTCACCGTAATCAGGGAAGACAATTGTTCCTCCAACAGAATCAGTCCTACTGTCATTGACAAACCCTAGCTGCTTGTCAAGCCTTTCTAGCTTCATGTTATCAAATGTATTTCCTACTAGATTTCAAGTGACTGCATATATAAAGCGAGTGACAGCAACCACAATCAGCACTCAGCAGTAAAAGAATAGCCGTCCATTGTAATAAGCAATGGCCCTAAAAGGCTACTTGCCAATCAGCTTAAAGTAGGCATACAAACCAGATCCCAGAAAACCGAGAACCTGTCCAATAACATTCAGCTGCAAGCATAATGCACGTCATTACCAATTTACTCAAGATAATATTCTCATATAGAGATCATAAACAGAGACAGCAATTCCATTTTACTCACCAAATCAAAAGGTAATCCACCAAATATCATCCAACCCAGTCCAATGGTGAAAAGATCCTACAAAATAACAGTATGGAAATAAGATACTAGTACTTTCAAGTACATTTGATAATTTGAAGTAACAAAGGTGATTGATTATAGGACACTAAAAAAGGAATAGAGAGTTAAGGCCCTTGCTCTCTATATGCATGTTCAACTCAAATATTTTTATTATCTCTCGCAGCTGCAACACACCCAAACCCACCCAACCACCGCAGAAAATAATTTAACAGATAAAGAGAGTTTGTGCAAGGCTGTTTCACAGTCTCTATCGTCTTGTCAATAATTGTGGGACTTGATTCAAGTATGCATGGATCCATCAATTTTTTTTTTAGATTTTCTAATATGTTTAAATAAACCGGAGGAACCCGGCGAAATAGCAAAAGTAACAAAAGGCAACTGTAATTACCTTCAGGTTACCACAAATTGTCTGTGTTAGTGCTGAATTGAGAGTGGTGTTGAGAAATATACTGTAGTTGAGGAAGAACGCCAGCACACAAGAAAAGGACAAAACAACCTGCACGAAGAGGAAGTGAGATAGGGGGGCATAAGATTCATTATAAGAAGTCAATGATCAGGAAAGCATTTTAGATATTCTTGCCATGTGGGATGATGAAAACATGCATATTATACAAAGTGAAGCCTTAAGCAGAATGAAACATGCTAGGCTTCGGCAATAAGCATGCATGTAGAGTTGAGCAACAGAAGAATCAAGGGATTATGATGTACCAGAAAGCCAGGAGAGAACAAGTAAGGGAAGTTGAAGGTGATATCCAGATCACCTCTCACATAAGTCCAAAACAGCAATATTGGTCCACAAAGAATACCTGAAATTCACCCAAAAAAAGGTATCAAGAGCATAGAACTGATACATCATGTTGCAAGGCTGTGAGTCGTAAGTACATTTCTTTTATAAAAGTTCTGCACTCTCACCATTACACCACATAAGTCCAAAACTATTGAGGCCACTGGATTTTCCTGAGAAAAAAGGTTATACAAGCATCAATAGACCAGAATATATTAGATTACTCAGGGAAAATGAAATAAAAATAATGATGTATCACCAATTCGAGCAATAGTTGCAAGGTATATAGCCGTAGTAATATTGGCCAGAAACACAACTGCATAGCCATAAGCATCAAATGACAGATCTCGAGCACCAGCAATGAATGCACCAAGAACAATCAACCCTACACTGAACCAACAAGACCAAAAAATAATAGTGACTACAAAGCACTTAAGAGAAAGAGAAAGCAACCACAAATCCATAATCTCCATAGAACTCTAGATACTACAATCCCACACTGCATGCAGCTTCCTTAATAACCAAATATTCTAAAAAAGGTTTTCTCTCCACAGCTAAAAAAAAGACAATAAAATCTAATTTTATTGCGAACGATCTGCTGTAAGGCAATAAGCCCTTTATGAACAAAAACTGACACGATGTGTATTGTGTAACTTGAAAAAGACTCCCAGAATTTGATCTAAATCCAAAGCAGATAAAATAAGAGTTTGTCATATCTTTTCTATTTTTATCTGTTTATGAGATCACAGACATAATCATCTCCTTGTGATGATCAATCAAGCAATATATAATATAAAGGTTCATAAATTCAAGATGAACGCATATAAAGAATATGTATCCACACCACGGATGGGCAGTAGCAAAAATAAAAAATGTTTTTACCTTCCAACAATAGAGGAAGTATACTTTTGCCGGACCAGAATATACTCCATAACCATAGTAAAGACCACAGTAGTCCTTCTCAGAGTAGTATACATAGGAACATTTACACCACGCACAGACTCCATGGTAACTAACTTCAAAAGAAATGGAAAATAAAAAATAAATATATAACAGAAATTGTTATAATTAGAAGCCCAAAAAAAAAAACAGAAATGCATTCCAAAAACACACAGTTATCATCAAAGCATACCATGTACATCAAATAGGTAAATGCAAGAGGTAGAGTGTGCAGCAGTGTTTTCAAAGGAACAAGAGTTACAGGGTTATCAAGAGCAGTCGATGATTCTGCAACAGTGAAAGATATGAGCTTCAAGCGTTTCATCACATAGAGAAATGTAGATGAAGATACCATCTGCAGGCACAGACAAATCACGTTATCAAATTGAGTTCCCAGGTATGTGTTTTTCTTTTTAAAAAAAAATAAAAAAGAACTCCTCATAGATCTGCATGAATGAAGAAACATTCAATCATAGAACAGCTTGACTAACAGATAATTTGCAATTATGATAACTTCCTAAGGATCCACCAGACCACCATTACCATCTTGAATAAGCAAAATACATACAAGACATTGACTGCAATGTAATTATCATCAGTTCTGACTAAGTATAGGTGGACTGTCTTTTAACCGAGACTTGATGTATCCATCCATAATTGAATCACAAAATCAGTAATAGGATAAGCTAATATATTTGAAACACCACATAAGAATAAACGAAGACTGATAATGAAGTAGCCAACCTAGCCACTATAGATGCTTTCTACTCTATACGTATTAAAAACATAATTTTTCAGGCACCCTGACTTGCTTTAAATCAGGTACCACTAAGGCATTAACACAACCTTCCCAACCCCCCCCCCCAAACAAAACCCACCAAGGCACCAAAATACACTCCAAAAAAAAAAAACAATTGAAAACAGAGTCAAGAATATGTTGAAATCGGGGGGTCATTAATGTGCAAAAAAAGTGCCTTCAGCAGTCTCTATTACACTATATAATCCCAGCCACAACTAATAAGCCAGTAAAATATAAATGAAAGCTTACTAAGATCCTCATCACACAAAGAGTTGATTATTAACAAAAAAGGAGAGAGATTTATTGAATGATAAAAGGCACTATTTTCTCCATCTAGCTTTTTTAACTAATGATATAGTAAGGAATTACTCATTTCAAATGTGTCTTTTCCTTCAAAAATATCAAGAAGCTTCTTATATTACAAGGCAAAAGGTCATGTCAATATTATGTTGCATAAAGCAGTAGCTTCACGAATCACACTATATAAGAAAATAAATACATATGAATATACCAACAATTTTAGGGCAGCAGCTTACCTGGAAAAGGGTGATTACATTTGCACTTGGGAAGTTATATGAAGACAATGCAGCCTTATTGAACAATATCAAGAGCACTGCAAAAAGGAAATGCCAGCTAAATTTTTTTCTATTTCATAACATTAGCTCAATTATACACAACCTCCTTGCAATTGTTCCCACTTCCCAGACAGTCCCTCCCCCCTAGACCTGCCTCAGTTTAATAACCGCAAGAGCAAACATTTAAAGAAAAGAGCATAACCAAGAAGAGAAAATTTTAGTACAACAACAAAGCCTTGGTCCCAAAATGATTTCAGAAAATTTTAGTACTATAATGAATAAATTCCTCTATATTATTCATGCATGTATTAATCTAAAATGCACTAAAAAAAGCTAAAATGTCTTCGATGTTTTCTTCTTCACAAGGGGCTAAATGATTAATACTTTCAAAAATGGTTATATTTTTCCTAAGGCAACATACACACCTTTCACATATGAGACAACATTCAGCCAAGTGATCCTTCCCCAACCAGCCAACCTATAAATGAGGCATCCGGTGTATTGAATGTTTAGCCTATGCAATTCCTCATCAAAAGCTTACTTAAACTTCTACGCTATTTAAACCAATGACATATATTTAGATGAAAGGGATCAATAATTCAATACCCTTAGCCATAACAAAGACCCAATAAGTTTTAGCTCAAATATTTAAAATTTAAATCAATTGAACTCCAATGTATTTCGTCTCTCAAACAACCACACCAAACCTGCTAGCAGCAAGCTGTTAAACCATGATGGCTCAATCACTATTAACCCCATTACATAGCAATACTCGAAAAAATTCAACAACTGCATCGCAGTTCATCTAATAAGGCTCCATGTCAATCAATTTCATAATAATATCGACAACATACACCCTCCATCATTCATCAAACTCCGCTACATCCATCACCGATTCATTAGGGAGAGAATTTAGGCAGAAATCATAATCTACAAAAACTAACTCTAGAATTTAAAACTTCCAGAATTCCAGGCTATTATCACATCCATAATTATTCCTGTGCATCCCAGAATTGCTTTCCGTAAGCCTACAACAACCAATTTCCTAAATTTCTTAAAGTTCCAATTTCCAAACCTACTTAAATTAAAATCACAATCAATCAAAGTCGAATTCGATTAACAATCAATCAAATACGAAGAGCAACCTAAAATAACTAATCCAAATCATCACAATCACACACAAATTCCTCAAAAAATTCAATCCAAATCAATTCATCAATAAAATTCAATTCAATTCATCATTCGAATCACAATCACATACCATAGAAATCAGCAACAATCAGAAAAGATCACGAAAACTGACCCTAGGAGAGAGAAAGTAGCAAAATACCAGCACAAGCCATGTAAGAAATGGCAGCATAAGCTCCACGTTTAGTCATGGCGGAACCTCGAAAGAGTTTATCGTCGATTTTGGGAAGATCAGAAACCGGCAACAAATTGTTCTTCTCTGAATTCGAACCCATCTCAAACTCTCTCATAGATATCTCTGTTTCTCTCAATTTTCTGTAAATGATGATTGAAGAAAAATGGTTGATTGTATTTTTTGGGTTGGGAAGATGGGTCCGAAAGTTTCAAAAGGAACGTTGACGGCAGTGGTCAAGTTCTTTGTTGGCGTCTGTTTAAATCGATCCGATAAAATATTGTTTGATTACATGGGGGTGTTAAATACCGCCAATAAAAATGATTAAAACCACTAATATTTAGTGTGAATGGACAACAATATCCTTAGTATTTCACCACTATCTTCCCTCTTGCCACCAATCACTGACACCGCCACCCTGATCGGTGATGATCCCACCGCCACACTGACCGGCGACGACCACCACCCCCACCCTAACCGCCGACCCACCACATCCCCCTCAATGAAGACCCACCACCTTCCCTCGCCGATGGGAAGGTGGTGGTTTTTTTTTATTTCCAATAACATCGGTAACCGAAGCCCAAAACCGGTTACCAGCCACAGTAAGCGGTTTTGGACTCCGGTTACCTAGCACGGTAACCGGTTTTGGGCTCTGGTTACCGTGGTAATTGTTTACCGTGCACGGCAACAGGAGCCCAAAACCGGTTACTGTGCCAAGTAACCGGAGTCCAAAACCGCTTACCATGGCTGGTAACCAGTTTTGGGCTCCAGTTACCGATCGATGTTGTCGGAAATAAAAAAAAATCATTGAGGGGGATGTGGTGGTGGTTGTCGCCGGTCGGAAGGGGTGGTGGGTCGCCGGGGAGGATAAAGGGTGGTGAAGTAGTAAGGGCATGGTTGTCCATTCACACCAAAGTTGGCAGTGGTGATCATTTTTTATGGCGGTGTTTAGCAATCCACTATCGCGGGGTTTGGACAATTCTTCTTGTATTGGGAATCGTAGATTGCAAAATTGTCTACCTTGACGTGTCTATGAGTCCATCACTTGTATGCTACATAATACGGACACATAATTCAATTGTTGTACTCGTACTCGATATAGAGTCCAATGTCAACATATGTATATGGGCACACCTAATTTAGCATAATTTTATTTTGACATCATGTAATACGTAGTATATGAATTCATTTGAGTACCATGTAGTTATGAGTTTCATAAGTCAATCAAGTCAATACAATTTGGATTAGTTTCATTTCAACATATGTCAAATAGGTTGATCAACTCAATTTATTTTTGGGTAAGCTTGGGTTTATTGCAAGTCTAAAATCCGGGTCAATTTGGGTTTGGGATTGAACCATTTTTTATTTGTTTTTTGGATTATTTTAGATTTGGAATAGTACAAAAACATTTGTTGTGTACTTGCACAATCTAAAGAGATCTTCATTTTAGGAAGAACAACCAATTAATTAGGCAATAATATATTCAATTAAATTGTTAGAGGATTATTAAAGAATAATGAAGAATACTTAGAATTTGTAAGAAAATCAAGATAAGAAGGAAACCAATCGAGCTGGACTAATTTATTGATTACAATTTTACACCATGTTAAAATAGAAAATTATCCATGTGAAATTCCTAATTAGTCATGGAAATCATATAATGAGACCTTAAATTAAAAATGAATTAAGATAAAATGGGATAAAAAATTAAAAATATACCTTGAAAGATGTTTTATAAGGTGTGAATTATAATTCTACATGTACATTATTGCACCAAAATTTTGAAGGTAATCCTAAAGTTGCATTGATAGTTGATGATAGCAAAACAATATGAGTACATGAGAAATATGTTGCAACCCCATAGAAAAAAAGGTAAAGCTTTATAGAAGAAAGGATATGTTCAGCACCAACTTAAAAGTTGAAGAAGAGAAGCAGAAAAGAAGAGCCAAAAAAACAAAAAGAAAATTCCACTACAATTGAAATTTGTAAGAATAAAGGTAAAAGACCTAAACAAGACTGCTTAAAGCTTTAATTATGCATTATGCTTTGTGCCAATAAAAGCAACCTTCTTACTAAATCAATTTATAAACGAGAAGTACTTTTTATTTTTTGGACATTTGAACAAGCTATGCTATAAACCCCCTCCAATTCTAAATACGAAGTAATACAATATCACAGTTCAATTTCACACATTAAGTATGATCAACTACTCATAGTTCAAATATAGGAAGTTAAAATTTGAGCTTTCACAAGACCAAAAAAATAAAAAATAAAAAAAATGGAGCTTTCACATACTTCGTATTACTCTTAGTAAGCTCATTGACCTTGTGTGTAACATCTAATATAAGTAGACATTAATATTATAGTGTAATGTATTTGTAATAATTAACTCACATTCAGGCCAACGCAAGTACCTTTTTATTATTGAAGTGTATCACTTAGCTAGAGATTCCGATCCCTTAATGAAATTTGTTAATGAGGTAATCTCGTGACAAAAATGCAAAGTAAAGAAAAGTATACAATCTAATGATTCTGATCCCAACGACAAAAGCTTCAATCAGTATTGATGAAGGCTGACAAATCCTGAATCAATGTAGCTGTTGCTGGATCTTCAGGTTTCAGTATATGAAATACATGGGTTTCTCCCTTGGCCTCGATCCATCGAGCCTGACCTGCCCATTGGCTTGTCTTAACCCGTTTGTAGTACCATATCCCACGGCCCCGAAGCTCATCCACCTCGGCTGTGTAAACCAACAACTTCGTACACCCGAGGTGGGAAATGCTCGGGGTCCCGGGCCCAAATGGGTTAATGAACGCGTTATCAACTCCGTTTGTACAATTGTCACAAACATAAGACCAAACTATATAATTGGTAGAGGACGCAATGCCTTTAGGCTCGAGTGGAACCCGTTTTGACCCGAGAAAATAAGGCATGGCTAAGAAGAGACCGGTAAAGCGTGGGCCAGGGCTAAGCCCGGCCCGGAGTGCCAAGTTATGAGCTATGGTGCCCCCTGCACTATCTCCTCCAACAAACATGTTTTGAAAATCTCCGTATTGGGTTAACCATGGTTCATGGCTAGGCCTGGTACTAGATGCATGGGCTGCCACCCACTTGAAGGCAGCCCATGCATCGTTAAATGGGGCAGGTACTGTAAACTCCGGGTACAAGCGATAGTCTATAGCTATCGCAAGAACCCGGGCCTCAGCCGCGACCCTAGCCACAAAAACACTGTCACCAATGAAGAATGGGGAGCCAATGCAAAAGGCTCCCCCATGGAAGTAAATAAGTACAGGGAGTTTCCGGGCCGGGTCAGGGTGGGCTGGAAGAAAAACCCGAGCCCCGAGATTTCGGGTGGAAGAAGAGGGGAAGGTGATGTCTTTGGATTGCACATGAGTGTCATTAGGAGGGGGGACAATGGAGGGTGGGGTGGTAGTATTGTATCTCAAAACGGTGCCGTTGCGATAATCAATAATGTAAGGCTGAAGTATAATTGGAGAAAGAATAGTCTCAGATGTTGAAGTATGAGCAAGCAATAGTTTAACTAAGAAGAAGACGAGAGTGAAGAGATGATGGTTTTGTGTAAGTAAGGCCATTGTTGTGTAGGAGTGTTTTGAGTGTATTTGTGAGTGGAGAAAGATTTTTATATGTTGGAGATAAGGCAGGAAGAAATGGGCACTTGGAAGTAACTATCAATGTTGACAATAATTATTCGATAACTATATTGTACATTTATTTTTTTGAACTATATCGCTTATATGGCTTTCACTTATATAGCTAGATTTTCCCATGTACATTTCTTGTAAGATTGTCGATATTAAAAATTTACCGCATAATTATTTTCTACTTCTACACACGTACATTAGCTATAATTAAACCCCCTTCTTCACCTATATGTCGAGACCTATAAAGCTACGACTATTAACTAATGACTGATTTGTGAAATCAATTAACGAATTTTAACAATATTGTTGATATTTGAGGAAAAAAAAATACCAACTTAAAATATTGAATAACTAGCTTAGGTCATGTGTCATGCACGGTAAGTGTAACTGTTTTTAAACAAAAATTATTATGTCTAACAAATAAAAGTGATGCTTTAAAGTAATTTCCTTAATATCAATAATATGAATCAATTTTATTACGGAGTATTACTTTTTTAGCAAAATCTAATGTTACTCCGTCTATCAGATAATTAAAAAGGAGTTAGATTAATATTTTAGGGAAGAATTATAAGCACCAAATAAAAAAGAATACTTTTGTCATAAAGATAATATAAAAGATTTGAAATGATATTATAATTGTATCAAATATTCACATAAAAAAAATAGTTAAAAAGGGAAGGAGAATTTTGGAGGAAAATAACAGCACCAGGATGTGACACGTGTTACTCCTGGTGTCTGTTTTAGTATTAAGTTATTGATGATTGATTGATATTCATTTAATAGTGTGCCCAAATGACCACTTAAATTAAATCCCAACACAAACTAATCCAGGTCCAAGTTCACGCCCAAATCTTATCTAATATATATATATATATAAATAAAGTAGGCATTTTTGGAGAGCATTTGGCGCGCCACATAAGCAAAGGTATTATTTCGACCAATTAAAAGTTAGATTTGTATTTTATTTTAGAATTAAAAAATTCACTCGCCACATAGGCAAAAGTGACGAATGAAATTTAAAAATTTTGCCACGTAGGTAAAAACAATGAATAATGATTTATTAAGATTTAAATTATTTTAAAACTAAAAATTATCTTTTTTAAAAGATGATCTTTTGATATTAGGATTTAATTTTAAAAAAACTATAAATTATACAATTATTATATACAAACACTTTAAAATTAAATATTTGAAAAAGAAATATATGTTCATTTTGTTTTTAAGAAAACGTTCAATCAATTTTTATTTTTTTAAAAAAAAAAACCTTTTAAAAGAAATATAAATTGTTAATAATTAACTAATATTCTTCAAATTTTTTTAAAAAAAATCAATATTCATCAAAAAAAAAATAACAATAATGTTCAGTCTTTATCAATATTCTTCAAAAAAAAAAAAACAATAATGTTCAATTTTTATCTTATCTAGCAACCCATTTTATGATTAGATAAAAAATTTTATAAGAGAATTATTTGCTACTCCACAAATATATAAAATAGGATGATATTAAAGATTTGTATACATCCTCTCAAAAATATAATTGTGATTTTATTTTTTTCAATTGTAAATAGACAATATATATATACTATACAAAAAACTCAAACATGTGAATATTATTTATCTACACTTTTTCATGGTGTGAATTTTTTTCAGGTCTAATTCGTTGATTAACAAAAAATATTGGAAATAATGAAGTATATCAAGGCTTTCTGATGGTAAACAAAATAAATTGATTGTTATTCATTATTTTATAAGATTTATGTTTTGTTTTATTTTACATAATCTAATTATGTTACTTATCGTATTAAATTTTGTTAAACAACTTAATTGTAACTTAATATTAATTATTCTGTATTTGAAGGGATTATGTCCATGCGCCAATTGAAAGAAATTTTTTCAAGCACTTATATATCCAAAAGAGAAATGTGTGGATTGGAAAAGTAAGGGCCTGTTCTCGGGCCTGTTCTCTTCAGCTTATTTTCAGTTCAATCCAGCTCCTAATTTCCTTCTCTCATAAAATATTCAGTTCAGTTCAGTAAATCAGAATAGACCCTAAGTCAACTATAATGTTATAATAGTAGGGAAAAAAAATTAAAGATTGTAAGAGATGTCTTTGATAATTTTGATTTTTTATGTATTATAGTTTCTGGTAGAATATCTATATTATTATTGTAAAAATCATTGTAATAGTGTATACATATAACTCTATTATTAAGGACATATGATAATGAAATTTCTTTATAAAGATTTAATTTTATTCAATTAGATTAATTTTAGTAATGCAACATTCTTGGTAGTATATATATATATTTCACTTAACTATTTAAAAATTTATAAAGTCATATCCTTTTACTATTACTCCCACCGTCTTTATTTTAACCTTGTAGTTTTGGGTTTACTTTATTAATTTTTCATTGTATAAAGTTGATACGGAGTAAAAGAATAATGGTGGTCTAAGTTATTGTTTGTGAAAGAAAAATAGTGATTCTATAACTATATATGTATAGTGGAACAACGTGTTTTCGTTATACAAACGAATCATAGGTTAAAAAAATACGAATAGGATTATGATTTTATTCTAATATTTATCATACTTATAATTTTCATATAACTAACATTAAGTAAATTAAGGTCGCATTATAAGTTACATTAAAATAAAACAAATTATCCGTTTTCTAACAAACAAAATAAAAAAAAAAATTATAGAGTTAAATTAAGAAAATAATCTTTTCATGAGATTTATGTATAAAAAATTGTGCATCGCACGGGTTTCTATCTAGTTCTAAATATTACGCAAGTAAATGAAGTTCAAAGTTGTTATTGGATCACATGGGTCAAAAGCCCATAAGTCAAAGGCCAATAGGTCGACTTTTTATGTACCAAAAGCATATTGATATTATAATTAATAAGTTAGGGGCAATTTTCATGATAAGTTCAAATGCTCATTTAGTCATTTCTACTCTCTCTTTCGAAAAAATGCTTCGTGTCTAAAACTACAACACACTTCCAAACAAAAAAGGGAAAAACCTGAAAAGTGGGGAACAATAGAAGAGCCAAGAAACAAAGAGTAAAGGCCACTAGAAAAAAATTAAGGTTGAACACCAAAAACAAGACTGTCTAAAACCTTTGAATATCTGCCTTTAATTTATTCATGATTGTGCCAACAACAATCAACCTTTCAACCAATTAATCAAGTTAGAGTAACACTCTCGATAACAAAAGACGGCCATAAAAATAATGCTCGTCCTCTTTACTTCGTATGCAGAATGTTCTATATTCTCCCAAATTCCCAATACGTAAACACACATTCGTTACACAACACTATGTCACTATATATAGCTTTCAATTTGAAGTTATTTAAAATCAAGCAAGTAACCAACAATTACTCTTATACGAACTTTGTCGACAAGATGTTATCACTGCAAAATGGCTGTGTATATAAAAAGTATACCGTACATTATTTTATCACCAGCACAAACACCTCAATTAGAATTAATAAATGCTGATAAATCCCGAATCAATTTAGTTGTTGCTGGATCATCTGGTTTCGATATATGGAATATATGAGATTGTCCCTTAGCCTCAATCCATCGGGCTTGACCCGGCCATTGACTCGTCTTAACCCGTTTGTAGTACCATATCGCACGACCCCGAAGCTCGTCCACCTCGGCTGTGTAAACCAACAACTTCTTACAGCCGAGGTGGGTAATGCTCGGGGCCCCGCGCCCAAACGGGTTGATAAACCCGTTATTAACCCCGCCTTTGCAATGGTTGCATACATAAGGCCATACTTTATAATTCGGCGAAAACGGGAACCACTTGGGCTCGAGTGGAACCCGCTTTGACCCGAGAAAGTAAGGCATGGCCAAGAACAAGCCCGCAAGGTGCGGCCCGTGGCCCATTCCGATCCGAACCGCTAAATTGTGAGCTATTGTACCACCTGAGCTATCCCCTCCGGCGAAGATCCTTTGAAGATCGCCGTACTGGGCCACCCACGGGTCATGTTCGGGCCTAATACCAGACGCATGGGCTGCCACCCATTCGAGGGCAGCCCATGCGTCCTCCAAAGGTGCAGGAACCGTAAAGTCCGGGTACAAGCGATAGTCGACAGCAATCGCAATAACCCGGGCCTCGGCCGCGACCCTTGCCACGTAGTGACTATCACCCCAACCGAAGGCAGAACCAATGCAGAAGGCTCCCCCATGGAAGTAAAGAAGAACAGGGATCTTCCGGGACGGGTCATGTCGGGCCGGAAGAAAAACCCGGGCCCGGAGATTGTGATACGAAGGTGAAGGAATGGTAATATCTTTGGATTGAACCTGAGAATCAACTGGTGGTGGAACAAAAGATGGCGGCCCGTTATAGTATTTTGTAACGGTGCCGTTTTGATAGTCGATACTATAAGGTTGGATTATAATTGGGGATTTAGAAGTGTTTTTGGCAAAAATAAGAGAAATTTGAGCAAGAATTAGTACAAGGAAGAAGGAGAAAGAAATAAGAAGATGGTTTTCAGCCATCTTTTTCAAGTGTGTTTTGAGAGTGAAAGGAGTTAGATTTGGAAAGATGAAGTAGGAAGAAATAATGAGTTTTGTAATTTTGTTTGCTTAATTTAAGGGAGGAAGAAATGGGCACTTGGCAAAGATTGAAAAAAATGGATGTATTTTAATTTAGGACTGTACGGTGCCCACATCTAATGTAAATACATGTCACATCTTTTATAAGGGACAAACATAATCACGGTTGAATTGTCGGGGTTGATACACCCTCCATTAATTGAGCTTAATTGTAAGAACGTGAAATTATTTGTGTTGTTAAGTTACTCCGTATTAACTAACGTGCTACACTTAGTTTAAGAGAGATCGGACAATGCTTAGATGTTTTCCGGTTAATGAATTGCAAAAACAATGTGGAGTATTAATTGTGGTGAACGATAATTTAAACATTTTTTGGATTGTAAATATTTCAAACGGAAAGAGCAAAAATAAATTAGAGGGAGTATTACTCAATATTAGTAATAATTTAAATTTAGAAATGTGAAAATGTGAGTATGTGAGCTTGGGTGAAATTAGGTGGATAAATACTTTAACAAGTAAAAATATTACTTTTAAAATTTTGTATTA